CCTGAGTTATTCTGGCTTCCCTCCTCCCCCCCAGTTAAGTTCCTGTCCATTTTCCCCTTTTCTCCACAGCACATATGTCCCATATTTGAGAGTGTCTTTTCTTATCCTCAAGGCTCCTTTTCTACTTTCCTGCCTACTGTGGTTACTTGCAGTTACACTCAAGCCTAAAGATTTGGATCCAGGATCCACAAATAAGGAGCATGCAGAGTTTGTCTTGCTGAGTCTCAGTTACTTCACTCAGTATATTTTCCAGTTCTAGCCATTTACTGGCAAATTTCATGGTTTTTCTTATAAGCTGAAAAAATTCCATTATGTATACAAACCACATTTTCATTATGCATTCATCAGTTCACAGACATCCAGGATGCTTCCAATTCCTAGCTATTGTGAATAAAGTATCAATAAACATGGCTGAACAAGTATCTCTTTATTAGGATAACAAGTGCTTTGGGGTATAACCAAGGAATGGTCATACGCAGATCTATTTTCAGGTTTTGAGAATTCTCACAATGATTTCCACAGTGGCTGCACTAGTTTGCAATCCTACCAACAATGGATAAGACTTACTCTTTCCTCACATCCTTGCCAGCATTTGTTGTCAATTGTTTTCTTAATCTCAGCCATCTGTGTGTTCTTTTAGAACTTGGAGCATATTGCTCCTAGTTCTTCAGGCTTTGAAGTTTCCACTGAGAAACTGTTGTTCTGCTGTTATTCTGATGGGTTTCTCCTTAATGTGATTTGTAGTTTCTTTCTTATACCTTTTAATATCCCTTTCTTTATTTTATAGAGTTAGTATTTTGACTATAAGATTGGGTACTTCTTTTGGTCCTATCTACTTGGTGTTCTGTGTGCTTCTTATATCTGTATAGGTTTGTCTTTCCTGAGTTTGGGGAAGTTTTCTTCTATGATCCTGTTGAATATTTGTCTATACCATTGACCTGGGATTCTTCTCATTCTTCATTGCCTATAATTCATAATTTTGTTTTTTCCTGTTGTCCCAAAGCTCTTGCACATTTCATTTACATCTGTTGCTTTTTTAATTTATCACTTTTTTCCATTGAGTTTTTTCTTTATTTTATATTCAAGTCCTAATAGTCTGCCTTCTATTTGACCCATTCTACTGGTAAGGCTTTCCCTTGATTTTTCTTTCCTTTTTGTAATTATTTTAATTGAATTTTTGTGTAATTCATACAGAACTTAATCATCTTTATATCGCCTTTCCCATTTGCAAGAACCCCCCTGTAATGAATTTCATGCATTCTGTCATTTGTGGTAAGACCTATCGAGTCAACTTTGTGTCTCCATACACGAACAAGTTGATCCACTGGGGTCTAGGCAGCCTACCTAGAGTCCCTCCCTTTAAGAAGATCAGCTCTTCCTCACCTGGCAGTAATCAGCTGCCAACAGTTATTCAGCTAAGGCTGGGGCCTGCTTGACCATTTCCATAGTTCTTTGCTGGGTTTTTGCTTGCTTGAGTTTTCATGGGTCTTGTGCATGCTGACACCATTGCTGTACGTTCATCAAAGAAGCTTCTTTTACAATAGATGGAGATTATTACAGAGTTCCACAACTGGTTGCACACAGTTTATGTAAGAGTTTGCCCAAGCCAAAGTGACACCCCCTGAATTTTCTACTGGGGCCTTTGAATTTCTCAGTTCTATCCTCATTTCAGCTTGAGTTTTCTTCAGTATTTCTCTCTCTTTGTTGGAGTCAGTTCTCAAATCCTACATTGTTTTTATAGTTTTGTTTGGCTATGTGGCTATGTGTATTCTTTGGACGTCAAATAAGAGCTTATTTCTGTCCTCTTTAAGTTCCTTCAGGTTACTCGTGCCCACCTTGAATTCCCTGAATTCTTTGATTATGTTTCTAATTATTCTTTTAAATTTTGTGTCCTCAAGGTTGCCTGGTAATTCCCATTGGAGAACATTTCTATAGGACTGGCCATCTTCGTAGGGGATATATTTTCTTGGCCTTCCACACTGTTTGTGTTTTTTTTGTTGTTGTTTCTGTTTTTTGCTTGTTTGTTTCTTTCCCTGTAGTTCCCTGGGAATTACTATGTAGATAAGGCTTGTCTCCATCTCACAAAGACCTGCCTGCCTCTGCCTCCTGAGTGCTGAGATTACAGGCATGGCCCACCACACCTGGGAATCTGTTTGTGTTTTTGTAATGGGCCATGGGCATATGGATTTATTTCACTGAATGTTTCTGATATGAGATTCTAACCTATGTTGAGTGGAAGTTTGCTTCTGATTTTGCTATTGCCCAAACTTGTTTGATTTCAGGTCAGAAGGGAGGA